AATCCAAAGGTGGCAACCCTGCCTACAGTGTAGGACTGTTTGTTCAAACTTATTTTTATCGTCAGGATTCCACAATAATTCTCAAGCAAGCACAAGTTTCAACTTGACTTGCCTCTCCTGGAAAATAAAGCATGAAACAATGTTATTTATTATGTATCATATGATTTGGATGATTTAAATTGTCCATGATGGGGAAATTAAAATAATGTGTCTTAAGAATATTATATCAGGGAATATTGTGGTTATAATATATATAATATAGTAATACGGTTATAGTCTTTGAGATAGAAAGGATCTTTCTTATCTTGATAAAGACTATCTCTAGAAATCTCCATAAACATTATATTTAATAAGAGAAAAAAATCCTTGGAATTTTTCTCTTTAAGTCTAAATAGTTGAAGTTTTTATTTAACACAATAAAAGGTGTCAATGTGTCATAAGTATGAGAAACGAAGGAGAAAAGTGAATAAATGTGGATGATATGATAATTTGCATAGAAAGTAATAAGAAAATAGACAAATACAAATAAATTTTTAAAAATAGGACCCCTTTTCACCAGCTTAATTAAGGTAACTTAAATAAAGCGTGAGACATTTTGGAGTTTTAAAAATATTTTTATATACCTGAATAACTATATCAATCACTATATCATGTTCATGGAGGGGAAAATATTAACATTTTAAAGATATAAATTACCTTCAGATTAACTTAGAGATTCAATAAAATTCTAACACAATGCTAGCAGAATATTAGGAAGAATAGAGTAGTTTAGTTTCAAAATTATGTGAAAGATTTAATGTTTACTAATAGCTAAGATAATTATAAAACAACAGAGAGAAAAGTTTTTAATTCACTCTACAAGATATGAACATACATAACTAAGCAATAGTAAAAAGAAAAAAACACAGAGTGCAAGAAAAGACAAATCCAAATGGAACATACTAGAGAGTCAAAAAAAATAAATGTGGTATTTGACATATGTGGTTTAAGCAGGTCTTTCTCCATTTTGTCCCCTCAAATCCATTGTCACCTTTCTATTCCTTATTCTGTAGCTTGCAGAGCTCACCTCCACCAAGTCAGTCACCTGGGGTCCCTTCCCTTCTGGCCTATGGGGGGCCCGGGTGGGAGACTGAAGGATGGGAAGAGAAAGAGCCACAAGTGTCTCTCTCCTCGCTCCCTTCCTGCTTTGGACCATACTTCTGTCAACGGGCTCATCCCCTACAACCACAGCGCCTGCTCACGGCTCAACATCCATGGCCGTGGATCTCTCAGGCTCTGGCAGCACTGTTTCACCACTATTCACCCATCAATTATTCACTATTGTTAATGTTGAGGACTGGTAACTTCCCACGTAGCCACACCCTGAGGATCTTGTCGGCTCACTTAATTCCAGTCACCCTTGAATAAACACCTTCTTCATTTGGTTATCATCAGAATTTCATCTGAATTTGCTTTTTGTTCCTTGCTGCAACCTCGACTAAAACAAGTGAAATCATTTATCAGTTGAAAAAGGATGAGTTCCTGAGGAAATTTGGTTCACTCTATGGAAAAAAATACACGTTTAAATAAAAAATCAGGATAATGTTTTTGTGACATTGGGGTGAAAAAGATTTCTTAATAAGGCCCCAAAGTACAAACTATATAAGAAAAATTATTTTGACAACTTTAAATTAAATGTCTGTACTAAATTAGGGCATTATAGATGAAGTCAGCAGATGTCTGACATGCTGGGAAGATATTGTCAAAGCCTAATGATACTAAGGGATTAATACCTAGAGACATAGGAAATGCCCATAAATAATGGAGGAAAAAAACAGAAAACCTAACAAACAATTTATTAAATTGCATACTTAAGAAACCCGCCAAAAGGTAGACTGAATATCTAAATCTGTAGGAAGAAATTCGTAATCTTGCTAGTAATCAGATAAACACAAACATAAGAAAAAGGAAAGGCACTTTCTCACCCATCAGATGAGCAAAACTAAGAAGCTGGATTATACTGAGAGTGCTGATGAGGCTTGGGACAGGAGGGGCTAACATTTACTGCAGGTGGGAGAGAAAATAAGCCCATCTCTTCCAGAATCTCTGAATTTGGTAGTAAATTAAAGACTCATGTATTTATGACATACTAAGGACATATTTGGATATACATCTCAGAGAAACTCTTTCACAGGTGCCCATGGAGACATTTGTGAGAAGAAGGCTGGGGTCAATCCAGGTAACAGGGAGTTCAACAATGGAAAAATAAGATGGTTGACAACTCTGGAAGCAGGAGGAACACAAAGGAAACCACTCTGAGGCATATCATGATTAAATTGCTAGAAACTACTGATAAAAGTAGCCAGAGAAATGAGACGTTATATACAGGGGCCAAAAAATAAGAATCACTACTTACTTCTCAGTAGAAATAAAACAAGACAGAAGAACATGGAGTGATGTCTTTAACAGGCTGCAAGAGAAAGAATTCAGCCTTAAATTCCATATCAAGTTAAAACGTAGGTCACAAATCATGGAGAAATGCAGATATCTTCAGAAAAATAAAAGCAGGGAGAATTCTTTGCATTTCTGCACTATCAGAAAAGTAAAGTGAAGTTCTTAGGAAGAAAGAATATTATATTATATTAGGTGTAAATCTCAATCTATCGAAGGAGAAAAGTTCTAGAAATAGTAAATAAGTGGATAAATTTAAAGGATATTCTTCTTCTCTCTTAATTTTCTTTCCTATAATGCAATTGACTGTTTAATGAAAAATAAGAATGTACAGTACAGTTTCTAACACGTAGAAGTAAAAAGAATAACAATAATAGCACAAAGAATGGGATGAGAAGAACACATTATACATTAAATGGTATAATATTATTTTAAAGCAGACTTTGACAAGTTAAAGATGCATATTTTAAACCAAAGGCAACCATTAAAAATAAATACATAGCTAATATGAAAATACTAGAATACTGAAGGATATTCACCTAGCATAAGACAAGGCATAAGAGGAAGATACAAAAGACAGAAATTGTCAAACTGGATAAAAATGAGACACATTAAATGAAGACACAGAGGGCCGGCTCCATGGCTTGGCGGTTGGGTGCGCGCGCTCTGATGCTGGCGGCCCGGGTTCGGATCCCGGGAGCGCCCCGAGGCACCACTTCTCCGTCCAACGCGAGGTCGAGTCCCACGTACAGCAACTAGAAGGATGTGAACCTATGACATACAACTATCTACTGGGGCTTTGGGGGGAAAAAACTGAATAAATAAAATCTTTAAATGAAGACACAGAAAGTTTAAAAGTAAAAGCTTGAAAGAAGATATACCATGTGAACAGCAAGCATATTAATTCTTCCTATATTAATATCAGAAAATATAGATTTCAGAACAATTTTAGCAGAGACAAAGAGGAACATTTCATAGTGATTAAAATGCAACTCAGCAAGTAAAGAGAGCAATCATAAATGTGTATGCTCCTAATAAAAGAGATTCAAAAGATATGAAGCAAAAGCTGACCAAACTAAAAAGAGAAATCGATAAATCCACAAATATAGTTGCAGATTTTAATGCTCCACTTTCAGTAATTGGTAGGAAAAGTAAATGGAAATCGGTAAGGATAAAGAAGACTTTAAAAATCCTATGAAAAATTTAACACTATATTTATAAAAGATTGTACACAGAAACTGAAAATACACATTATTTCACCAAGATATATCAAATACCAAACCATAAAACAAGTCACAATCAGTTCCAAAGAATCGAAATCCTAGAGAATATATTCTCTTATCACAAGGGAATTAAAATAGAAATCAGTTGTTTTAATCGAGAAAGTAGCCAAATAATTGAAATTTAAACAACACATTACCAAATAGCCTATAGATCAAAGAAGAATTCAGAAGAGAGATTAGAAAATATTATGAACTGAATGAAAATCAAAAAACACAGCACATCCAAATATGTGAGGTGCAGCTAAAGCAGAGCTTAGAGAGAAAATTATAGCTTTAAATGTCAATGTAAAAACAATAAAAGAGTTAAATTGATGACTAAGCTTCCATCTTAAGAAGCTAGAAAAATAGAAGCAGCTCAAACTCTGAGAAGGTAAAAGAAATAAAATAACAAAGACAAGAAATCAATGAAATAGACAATGGACAAACAGTAGAGAAAATCAATTTCTAAAGGTAGTTTCTTAAAAAGATGAACACAATTGATAAGCCTTTGGTAAGACAAATCAAAAGAGTGTGAAAAAACAGATTGCCAATATCATTTGTGAAAGAGGAGACATTCTGACAGAAGTTAAACAAATAATGTGAAGAAGTTTATGTCAATAAATTTTACAATGTAGATTAAGTAGCAACTATTTTGAAACATTAACATAACTGACACAAGAAATAAGACATATGAATAGTCTGTATTTATTAAGGAAATTGTATTCATAGTTAAAATCTCTTACAAAAACTCACAGCCCACATATGTTGACTGGTGAATTTAATCAAATCAAAATTTAAGGAAAAAATAATAGCAATAAAACATATAACCTTTCAGAACAATTCATTTATTAGGCCAACATTACCCTGATACTAAAATCAGCCAAGAACTTTACGACGGCAACAAATAATGGGATAATGGGGGCCAGGCTTTTTACTGTCTGTGAAAGGAGCTATAAATATGGGAGGAGAGAAAGCTAGAATAAATTTTGTGGCATTGAGTTGGAGTTAGAGTGATTGACATAAAGTCATGGATTTCAATATATATAGGTAGATAGAGAATTAAATATAGAATATATATGTATATGTATATATACGTGGGTGTGTCTGTATATAGACATATATTTTTTCACATAAGAAAGCATTTATTTTAAGTTTAACATGAAATCATACAAATAAAATTTGCGTAAACACAAATCCACATTGTGTCATAACACAGAGAGCAAAGAGCAAAGTAAAAACAAAGAACGCTAATTGGCGGCTATATACAGCTGGATACAGCTGTGTCTTGTCCACTAGAAACTCATTCACAAAATAATCATCTTAGATCAACAGAAGACCAATCTTCAATGTCATCCTGCAAGATGGGTTACTTTAACATCTCCTCCTGTTTTCCCCAATGTCCTCCTTTGTATGGCTGGTAATATAATAGTTTGGCTGGTATATATATTCTTAGATATATTTTTTCTTTCTTTTTCTTAGTTCTGTCCGCTGACAGGGCCTAGGAGCAGCAGCAATTCAGTAACATTGAATATATCTAACAACTAGTTCTTGGTCTCTAAATACCACCCCATTCTCAATGGAACCACAGTTCTTTGGACAAATAATTGATTCCAGAATGGGAGCATGAAAAGAACAAGATGAGCCTGGAATAAAGATGTGATGGGGATACAGAATTCAGAGCCCCCGCTAGCTACATCAGGGCAGTTTGAGCTTCAAAGCAAATAACATAGTAATAGATCATATCTGTTGAATAAAATAGAAACCCATGAGTTCAAACTGATGTAAAAACAAATAAACAAATAAGTAAATAAAATAAAAAAAGAGAGAAGAAATCTTTTCCTTACAGTGGAATAACAACTAATAAGTAAATAGAAATGATGGAATTAGAAAATCACCATTTTCCACCATCATAATAATAATTAATTCAACAAGACACATTAATGAATACTAAAACTAGTAGGTGAAAATAAAGAGAAATGAGATTTTACATGATCTCAAAGAATATTTCCCATAAAATATTTATTAATGTAAATTGAGGAAATGGTAACTACAATGGAGAAATATGACAGACATCATTTTAATCAAGTGATCAAAGTTTCTACCAAAAATAGGATAAATTGAAATCATGTTCCACCAGACATAATGCAATGAGAATAAAGTAGCAATAATTATGTGATATTCCAGCCTAAAATACTTAACCTGAGTCTAATCAAGAAGAAACATCACACAAACCCAAATTGATTAGTGTTCTATAAAACGACTGTCCTATAATTATCAAAAATGCCCAGGTCATTAAAGTGAAGGGAAAACTGAAGAACTTTTCCAGATTTAAGACTCAAAAGACCTGAAAACTAGGTACTATGCATAATCCTGGATTGGATTCTTTTGCTATAAAGAACATTATTGGGACAAAGAGTGAAAGTTTTATGGAGTCTCTGGGCACATTGGAGTTGTTTGTACTATTGAAACACTGATGAAAGTTTGAAACGTTTCAAAGTTTAAGTAATAAGAGGTTGCTAATCCCACCCTAAAAGTGAGAATGTTGATAAACTATAGCTTTTTAAAGTCCATAAGAGAACTAAGGATGTAAAGAAAACCAACGAACTAAATTCCAGAAAATGAGGAAAGCTCCCTAGGTGAGAAGAGAATTCAGGTGCTTTCACCTCTGGTGGAGTTTTCAGAGGAGGAGGAATCTACCATATGTAGGAGTAAGGCAAAATAAACTAAACTTTAGCAGTCATATATGGCCTGGGCTGATGGATTAGAGGACCTCTTGCCACAGAGCAAGTCTGTATAAAACACCAATTCTTTCCCATGGGAATTCAGTTACTGCATGAGACTAGTGTACCAAAGACTGGAGACAGGGCATACAAGGTGAGAGGGATCTCCCTTGGGGCACGCAGGATGTTCCCCAAGTGCAAGGCAGTGGCTGCTGAAGATTGAGGGAAAGGAAGGAAAGATGAGAGAAACTCTTCCTAGAGACTTCCTCATCAGTTGTACTGCAATGGCCTTCTAACAGCTAGGGGCAGAGAAAGATCTCCTAGGAAACACTACAGCTAAACTATGACAGGAAAGCAAAAAGAATGCCCCAGTGAACCAAAAAGCTGCCAGTTGGACTGTAAAGCAGAGAAAGTTCTCTCAAAGATCAGGAAGATGACAACTGGGTTGTAAAGCATAAAGATATGTGCAACTTGCCAGTGCTCAGCTCTCAGGCTCCTTTTAAGGGAAAGTCCTGATTCCAAACCCAAAGCACTCGAAGCAAGTAGTGAAACTGAATCCAACTAAAGCTGAAACTGCCCAGACACAGCTCAAATACACATTAGATTAATTTAGTCCCCCATACTAGCAGTCTGACAAAAGAAGGAACATATCCTTTTATGAGCAGAATTAGCATTTAGTACTTAGAATTAGCATATTGATGCCTTATAAACAGAAGTTGACAAGACTCGAAGAAGCAATAAAATGTGACACATTGTCAAGAGAGGAAAGAGTCAGGAGAAGCAGACCCAGAGATGGTCCAGATGTTTGATTTACAACTCAAGAACTTTAAAATAATTGCACAAAATATAATAAAAGATCTAATTATAAAAGTAATAACATGCAGGAACAGGTGGAAAATTTATTCAGAAAGATGGACACTAGAAAAAAAAAGAAAAAAATGGAAATTCTAAATACAAAAAATATGATATTGGGTATAAAGAGTTCATTTGAACAGATTAACAACAGACAGGGCACTGCAGAAAAAGGAGCAGTGAACTTGAAAAGAGATCAACAGAAATTATCCAAACTGAAGAAAAAGTGAAAAAAATGGAACAGAACATTCATTACTTTAACAGAATAAAGGAGAAAAATCATGTGATCATCACAACAGCTGCAGAAAAAAATCATCTGAGAAAACTCAACATATAATAAAAACTCTCGAAATATGAATAGAAGAAACCTCTTTCAATCTGATATACGGTGTCTACGAAAAACCTACAGCTAATATCGTACTTAATGGTGAAATGTCAAACACTCTTCTGTTAAGATAGGGACTAAAGCAAGGATGTCTGTTCTTACTACTTCTATTTAACAGCATACTTGTCCTATCCAGTGCAAGAAGGCAAGGGTAAGACATAAAGACCAGAAAGAAGTCATGCTAATTCTATTCACTGATGACATGAATGTATGCATAAAAAAAACCCTGGAACCTACAAAAAAAAAAAACCACTAAAGCTAATAAATGAATTTAATACAACTACAGAAATAACACCAAGAAACAAAATAGATTTTATTTCAGATGCTATAGACTACAATTAGAAAGTTAAATTTTAAAAATAAAGTTTACAATAGCATCAAAAATTAAATATGTAGAAATAAATCTAATAAAATAAGTGTAGAATTTTTACAATGAAAATTATAAAACATTGTTGAGAGAAATTAAAGAAGACTCACATGAATAGAGATATATATCATGTTCACAGATTGAAAGACTCAATATTGTTTATAAGTCCATAATTTCAAAATTTGTCTATAGACTATAGGCTGGGTAAAAGTATAGTTGAAAAAACTGGAGATCAGAGTTGATCAGAAGGTTGGCTATTCTAAGAAACATGCCTCTATTTAATATATATACTATAACATATAATAATATAATAATTATATGTTATATATAATAGTAGAGCATGAATGTATCCCATCTGTAATGATCTGCCTCTAAATCATCACACTGTGGTACATTGACACCTGGCCTTTTAAGTTTCTAAAGAGGGCAGCACCTTAAATCTGAGGGAGATCAGTTTAAATGACACTGGTCATAAGGACAAATCAGAATGAATCATTGTCTAAAGAGGAGTGAGCATCCCTTGCTCTTATCCTGAACCTGGACACACTTCCCTTGCATTTCCTGTTTCTATCTGTGTCTATAACCAGCCTGACAAAAGAGAAGGCAATCTTGTTTTCTGCATCTGCTTTTCCCAGCATCTGTTTGCCTCTGAACTCATCGTGGAACTCAGTGTTTATCTTTGTGAGCTTTCCCAAAATGGGCCAGTAGCAAACTTCCCTTCCTGGAGCAGAGCAAGAGCCAATGTAGTAAGCAAAAACAGATTTTGTTAAAAAAATTACGGAATGGAACCTGAGAATGGCCACTGCTTGATTGGCAGAGGATTAGACGGCTCAACTATATATGACTTAATCCATCCAATATTTTAACAAGTCCTTGCTCCCTCCGTGTTCCCAGAAACACCACCCTGGTAACCGTTGCTACTCTATGGCGAGAACAGAGCAGGGCAGACGTGCACCAGCAGCTAGCTCACTCCAGTGGGTGATTCAGATGAGCAGACTCAGGTCAAGCCAAGGCATGTTGCCACCAGTGATAGAAACAGCATCAGCAGTACACTGAAGTATCAGCCAGACTCCTACATGAAGGAAATCCCCTCTGAAAAATCACCTTACAAAATTCAATTTGGTATTTTATTTTGGTTGTCTGTGATAACTCTCTTTCTTCTGGAATTGGAAGTTTGTATCATCAGTTATCATTGTTTTCTGAAATGCTTAAGGAATTAAAACAACCCTCACATTAAAGAGAAGGCGTTACTCAGAGAAGGGACTTAAATCTGCCTCCTAGGCAATTATGGTCAAGGGGTTAGGAGAGATTAGGTATTTTGTAAATTAGAGTCCAGAGTGAGGATGTGACTTCTCATCAGCCACTGAGGGTGGGCATCTGCTTGCCCAGCAGGGACTCCGTTGATTCACACTTTAGAGCATCTTAGTGTGTGACATGGTCACACCCAAACACACATTTCCTCTTTTGGACTTGGACCAGTATCTTGCTTGTGTCCATCAGGGACATCCCAATCTCTCAACAGTGACCTATTAGAGATTCTAATGCATAAAGCCCATCAGACTCTAGACAACAGCCACCAACAGTCCCTGCTCCACATAGCCAGAGCCCTGTTGGGACTGACCGTCAGGTCAGCATTGGTTGTGACCATGACAAAGCAGAGGAAGTTTAGGGCTAGGTCTTAATGGGATAAAACAGCAGTTATAGTAGGAAAATGTGTGAGGAAACCTGGGGATGTAAAGGGATGTTAGAAACTGATATTTTGTGCTTTAAGATTTCAGATAGGTAGGGCAGTTTCTGATCTAAGAAGGCTAATAATTGACAACTCTTTATCACTGATGAAATTGCTGGTTTTGTGTAAGAGCCAAATGGATCTGTTAGTACTCCCTGCCCACCCATCCTCCCCCACCCGTATCATCCTGGGCCTGTGTGAAAGGAAATTGGCATTTGAAGAACAAGTATACTGTCTAGGATTTCACACTGGTCTGAATTTAGGAAAGCGATTGAATCCCTGTGGTAACTGACTTTTGATAAATTATCCCCAAGCAAATTGAAAAAGATGTGGGTAAATGCTGTCACCAACCAACCATAAGGC